CTTAAATAAAAATAACCCCGTGGGTTTTTCCCCCCCCCCCCCCCGCCCGCCCGCCACACCATACCACCCGTCTCCTTCACGCTACTCCTATGATCTAACGATCCTAACTACATTTACCTTCCCTTAACGGCATTCTTTCCACTTCTTTCGCTCCTATCAGTCCTCTCACTCCTCGTTCGTTCTTTCTTAGACGAGCATCAGGACTGCTGCATGCACCTCTCCGTAATGTCCACGTTCTTACATACATTTCCCTCGGTTGAATCGTTTAATGTTAATCGTTAAGAGTTTGCTCCTGGACGTCGACGATCGCAAACTCACGCTCGCCGTTTGTTCCCGTAGACGATTGAAACGTTGCGCGAGCGCACGGGCCTCAAACCGTTCACGGACATCGAGGTCTCGTCAACGAGCAACGGCGACAAGGTCGCCTGCAACGTCACCGAGATCAAAACCATCGTCACCTCCATATCATCCAAGGCCGCGATCATAAACTGGGAGCCGTTCAAGCACCACGACATGCGCACCCTCCTCGGCTACGTCATCTACTCGAAGGAAGCGCCCAAGCAGAACATCAGCATGTACGAGTCGAGGGACGCCTGCGGGGGCGATGGCTGGAAGGTGGACGACGTATCGGCCAACGACGACGACAAGAGCACCGAGCACATCGATGGCCTCGCTGACACGGCCGCCGACTCCACGGCTTACAGTGTCGCCGGACCAGGATCTTCCAGGTGACCATTTTCTTCCTTCTAAACCTCGGCCTTTTCTAACCGGCAAACTCCCTTGATAAATTCCCTTGGATTTGCACGCGCCAGGCGAAGCCGAAGACGAAGCTGATGCGAAGCGAGCTTGAGAGATTATTTTCAGGCCCGGCATTTTCATGAAAACGCTTTAACCAATGAATAGGACGATAATGGTCTCATTGTATCGGATGTTTCTGGCCTACGGGGATCGTGAGGAGGATCTACACGCGATTCATCGGCCTTTACTCCTCCCTCCCGCATCATATACATTATCGGCGTAAAATCATTTAAGCTCCTATGGCTGCGCACATTTAAAAACTCCTGCCCATTACGAGGTCCTTATATCTCCTAAATTTATCTCTTAAATGGGAGCACCGGACTCGATAGTGAGATCAATTCAGCTTTGCCCTTTAATATTTAGATATTTAGCGCTTTCTCGAAGGGAAAGCAGCTCCGATCCGATTAGAGGAAATGCATGACTTTATTGGCTTTAATTGGCGATGCCTGACCTTTGGCGGTCGATTTAATGCACGAAACGCTCCATGTGCATTGCGTTGGAAAACCTTGACGGACTTTGGATAGGATAAGCATATTACTGGCTTTTGTTAATAATTTATCGCGCACCACTAGCATCCGTGTGACTAGCGTAAGTGATCGTGAGTAATATTTAAGCTAAACAAATATCGAATGTTTGTGCCTATATAAATAAATATATAAGTAATGGGCCGATATGGAGTATTGCAATAATCGAAATAATCGTGGAAAGTTGATCGTAGATGAGGTTATCACGATCATTTTCATACCGTTACTCTGACTAATTAATTGATTTTACGTAGCCGAAAATTCAAGATCACTATTAGTACCGGAATCCAGCTTCTATTTATTCTATATCAAATCTATCGAGATATTTCATCATATCCTACATTCTCTTCTTAAACCGAGTTTTTAACGTTATCCTACCACCTGCCTTCGCATACCTGAAAATCTTATGCTTCTCCTTCTTTCCTAAGATAGAAATCCCACATTTTATCGATCTTTTATTTTCTATTCGATAGCTACATAGCCGCTCATTTTAGTCCAGAGTTATTCAATTGGCTTTACAATGTTGGATATACTATATTATAGAGTACTTTTATCTCATCTCCGTGCTATTCCCACGATGCCTCGATACCCTGTTGCATTGTAAAAAAACTTCAAGAACAATATCTTATAAGTTTCATACACGCACGCACACATTTATGATATCTCATAATTGATATTTACAGCATACTTTTTATATTTTCTCCAATATTATATATGCTTATAGGCGTTCGTGCCACGCACACAAATACACTCAAGCTTGTACAAGCATGGATAATATTAATTTTCTTTTCTTTTTATATAAATTTTATAACTTTTTTTTCCAGCTTAATTGTGAAAGAAACACTCAGCATTTCTATTTTAAACGCAATAATTTCTCTTCGTTTTTAAAGGCTATTTTTATTTTTCTCTTTTCATCAAAATGGAATCTCAAAAAATGCTCGAAAAATGCATATCATTACAATTACAATCTGAGTTATCTCTTTATCGTCTCACCCTTCCGTCTATTTTTTTTTTTTTTTTTTGTTATTAATTATAATTTCTTTATTATAGCCTATTAAGGCACAATCACTGACATAAGCCGAGAGTTGGCCAGTGGCAGTTGGAGAAATCCCTTTGGTGAAATCATTATTAAAAAAAAAAAAAAAAAAAAAAAAAAAAAAAAAAAAAACGTCACAATAATCTTTCGCTTCAAATCTACCTAATTAAGAGTCTCTATTGGTGCGAATAGAATAAATTCTCTACTAATCATTCGTTAATTTTTAAATTCTTTATTCGCTACTTTTCCTAGACACAGTCTCAGCCGTACAGAAGCGATCGATTACAAATTTAAAATTTAAGGATCTCCTGCCAATGTCTCCTTCTTAATTAAGATATTCGTAGTAGTTAAATGGTAATTCGCATTACGTCATATTGTATTTAAATGTAAATTTTACGAGTGTTTAATAGCTAATTCGAATTGCGTTTCCATCTACCAAATAAGCTTTTTACGTCAGATAACACGTTGCCGTAAATTTTCTCTTTCTATAAAATTTCACATGACTGAAAATTACTTTGTTCGATCGACTACGTGTAATTGGCACTATTCAATCGGTTTCCTTCCTCTCCTAAGCCCACGATTTATCGAATTACATCGGCTTCCCTCTATGTAATCTGTAAGTTGCTGTTTCATTTAGTAATATATAATTCTATCCAAAGTATCACATTCGTGTAATCATTCATTTATATTGTATATATCATTATTTACAATTAAGAACGCTTTACGTATGTGTCGTTTAAATAATTTTTTTTTTTTTTTTTTTTTTTTTTTTTTAGATATTTGCATCGTATTTCCATCCCGGCTCGTATACTCCCAATGTAATTTACTTTATAAAAACTTGACTAGAAGTTTTTTTCCCTGTACGTAATCCCCCTGAACAATTTACAAAAAAGTATAACTTTTATCAGTTAGTATTCCATCCGAAGATATATATTTTATTTACTGACACTTCCATCGTTCTATTCTCTAATCTTTAGTCTCGCGCACACACGAAACGCACACGTACACTAGTTTATCATACATTCCGTTCCTTCCATTTACTTTACTTTACTTCTATGATTTTTTTTTGTCAATTTTTATGGGTATTCGATGAAGATCAGATTAACTAGTAATAGGGCATTGAAACGTTTTAATTACCCTTTTTTACTTGCGACAAGTAATAATTTCATTCTATTATAATTAATTTTCATATATGTAAGTTATAACTTGAAATGTTTAGAAAGCACGGGGTACAAAAGTATTATCGCATTGCACCTTTACATTGTATTATAAGGCAGAATATAAACGGCCTAGTGCCGTCTGTCTATATTAAAGAGTATTTTATCCGATGGTTTTTCATCATAAATACGAAATTTACCAAAATTTACATTGGAAATGTTCATACTTTCTTATTCCAGTTAATACTTGCAGTGCACTTTGTCATTGGGGGCAATGTTCTATTAAACTTCACATTATGCTTTGCTGGCTTTAATTAAAACTTTTTGAGTTCCATTATAGTTAAAAATTTATTTATAATAGACGAACAATTAATATGTCAACGTTTCGTTCTTTATACAATTATTACTTGTATTTTTATTACCTAAATATATAATTATGTTTCAATGATAATTGCACAGCGTATGTTTAAGGCGACAATTTTCCCAACGTATATTTCATAATTTTGAATTAGTAAAGCAACTAATCTTTTTCATTTACATTAAACGTTCTTTACATACATACGCCGCATATTATCAACTGCGTAATAATTACTACAAGATTATTATCACAAGAAAGGAGAACTGAATTTTTCAATTGTCGACAGCCACATAGCGCATGTTTTCGCAATTTTTCATTACATATAGTACAAAAGTATAAATAACGATTCATGGAAATTTTATGGATTTTTACATGGGTATTGACATTAACGACAAGCACAGAGTCGATAACTACGGGTTTTCCTTATAAAGTTGGCAGTGCTAATCCCACGACTTTCCTATGCTGTAACTCGTTAAATTAAAGGATATTCGTAGGATACTCGTAAAACCAAGATTCAATCAATATTGATAATAGATGAGAAATTATTGAGCTGTTTAACGCAAGCATGTGCTTAATTCCTTAACGAATGTGGAATGTGGAGAGTTAAGGGCGAGAACGGAGAGAAAGATAGGTAGATAGATAGCCACAGAGAGAGAGAGAGAGAGAGAGAGAGAATCAGTGAGAAATGGTCGGAGGAGTGAAACAAAATTTACTTGCAGTAGCGGCGGCAGCGGCAGCAGCAGCAATAACAATAACATCTACAGCCAGCAGACGATCCTGGCAATGCTGAAGCCGTTTACGCAGTACGCCTATTACGTAAAGACCTACACGATATCGACGGAGCGCTCGGGCGCCCAGAGCAAACTCCAGTACTTCACGACCTTACCGGGGCAACCCTCGGCCGTCCGCTCCCTTACCATCTACAGTAACGCCAGCGATACCCTCGTCATCAGCTGGCTGCCGCCCTTCGAACCCAACGGCAACCTCAGCCACTACAAGGTCATCGGTAAAATGGAGCACTACGATCCGGTCTACCTGCGCCAGAGGAACTACTGCGACGAACGTGAGTCTCACGTACCTCCTACCCACCCCACGCCCCTCAGCCGCACACCCTTCTCCATTAAGTCAACGTCTGCCGCGAGTCCGTCCTCGAAAAGCTCATACCGAGTCTGTTGCGAGCGCAGCGATGCAGCCACTGGAGCACAAGCCCGTGTCGGAAATTGCCGCCGAGGAGAAGAGGCGCGCGGAGCAGGAGCTCGAGGCGTCGAAGCAGCCCGAGTCCGGGAGCTGCGCCTGCCCGAAGCGCGAGCCCGTGCAGTCGGAGAAGGACGTCTACAGCTCGATCGCCTTCGAGAATGCCCTCCACAACCAGGTGTACGTTAAACGTGGAAACAACCGGCGTAGGCGCGAGACCCGCCAGGCGACGACGAGCTTTATGCTCGAGGCGACGAGGCTCAAGCGCGAGCTCAACTCCTACCAGGTAAGCACCACGCTCAACTTCACATTGACCCTACCATCAATTCTGGTTCGGACTCCTTGTCCGGATCTCTCGGCCGGACAATTTCACTACACTCACGCGCGAACAGCGTTCCATATAATCACGAGGAGGATCATGAGATTGAATCGTACGACGGACTGGGGGGGGGGGGGGGGGGGTTTT